TTCTGTTTCGGTAGAGATGGCATTCACATACCCAGGAGCTGGCAGCTATCTTTTTCTTTTTATAAGCTAAATTAATCAAATCGTGCCAGGATATATTTTATTTCTTCTGAATCTCAATGAGAATTTTACTTTGAGAAAAGGACTTCTAATTTTTTTTTTTTTTTTTTTTTGGTCTACCCTCACACAGTGTTTGTGCTTTTTCTGGAATCCAAATTAGACGCCTTCAACAAACTAATCTCAACAGAGCCCCAGCCCGCACAGTCCCTGTGACTTTAAGAGTAGCATTCCACCTCCCCCTCACACCCACATACTTGTCCTCTCTTTGCACAGCAAGTGCCAAGCAGTGACATCTACTATAGTTTCTAGGACACGATGGTCTCTGCTATACAGGGAAAAAAAGGGAGAGCGAGCGAGAGAAAGAAGGCGGGTGGTGAGGGACAGAGAGCACAAATCCAGCTATGTTCCCAGAGGATGAGTCACTTCCTAGCAATAATCCTGAGATGCTGTTTATGGCTGGGCCCAGCTCCATTTCTCAGCGGAGCCGCGGGACACAGCCTCCCCCTGGCTGTCCATTAATCATGAGGGGCTATTACCCAGTGTACACAGAGTGGGAGTTCTGCCTACGAGTGGCCTCTAGCTGTCTCCAGCTCAATGAAATGACCCTGTGTGAAAACTTGTTTTATGAGAGATTGGTTTATTTGTAACTAAACTACTTCCTCCGTTATTTGATAAGCTCAAATATTTGCTACTGATAGTCTGAGAGTGTCACATTTATTATCCTATTTCTGTGGTTGCCCAACGTCTTTGGACCTGGCTCCATTAACCCTTGCAGGGAGGGCTGTAACTCTTAAGAAACCAGCTTCTATTTTCTTCCAGGAACCCCAATGCCATCTTGTAGGCAACTGCATTTCTTTCGCTCATCTATGACGTGTGAGTCCGAGAGAGGCCTTTCTCTTCCAAAACAGAACATAGACAATTCTAGAAACAGGGGGCTCTGTAGACCGCCGGGAGGTTCTGAAGCCACCATAAAGATGAAGGGAAGGTATTGTTGTCATTCGCTGACGGAAATCTAAGATGTGCTGCAAACATTAGTATTTCTGAAATGGCAAATTTTAAATATGTTGCAATAGCTTTCTATAGTTTCTTAGACCCCCAAATATCATTTATTCAGGGCATGCTGTCTTAAAAACTGTAGCATTCTACATTTTGAAACGTTGCCTTTTGGAGTCTGAGCTCATTTGCATTTGGCAGAACTAGATTTCCTGCTTCTACAGAGGGGGGGGGGCGGTGGTGAAAGCCTTCACAGTGCTCCCTCAAAGGGCTTTCTGAACATATTAAACTAGGTTTCCAAGAGTTAAGTGAACCAGAATGAGGCAGATTTCATTTGAAATGAAAAAGAAATACAGGCTTTGTTACACGCAATACATTTGAAAAACCTGAATTGAAATATCTTTCCTGACAAACCCATATTGGGACTATTTTTCAGTTCTCTTGCTCTCTGACCAGCTACACAGAACTCTCAGTGAATGCAGAAGAGGCTAAGGAAATAACCACTTATGTGTGGCAAAATGTTCCAGCCTTGCAGAGATTTTCCCAAAATCATTAGACCCACCAAAACGCTTTCCATTGGCTAGGTCTACACCTTCATCAGATTTTCCACACTTTTCCAGACTCCCAAGTTCTGTCCATCTGTATTTCCTAAGAGAGCCAGTCATTCGTAGTTGAAAATGTAACGGAGTTTATTCTCAAAAACCAGAGATCTCCTTGACTGTCAATTAAAAAAAAAAAAAAAAAAAAGGAAGAAAGAAAAAAAGAAGAAGAAAGAAAAGAAAGGCAGAAAGAAAAGACAGAAAAAGCTTACCTCCTAACTCCTTTTAAGAAAGTCATAATGTGACTTTCGAAGAGGAAAGTCATACACACTCACCACTCCCCATGCCCCCCACCCAAGAAGAAGAGGTGAATTTAGGGCAGCTATGCTCTGAGGGCATATAGAGATGAACAGGAAAGGAGCCAGCCACATCTGCCACACCGGGATGGCAAATGGAAGGGAGGTAAGTGTTAATGGCACGGATCTCACCTCTGGTCTCTTTTAGGCCCAGCTCTCCCCACACGGTCTCCAGCATCGTCACCCCAACTTCCTGTCAGCAGAACAAAGACAGGACCAGAGTAATAGTCGGAATTGTTATCTGCAGTGGATTTGTGTTCAGAAATAGTCTACTTACGTGTTGACCAGATTTTATTTTACTTTTATAAAAGATTTTATTTATTTATTTGAGAGAGAGAGAGAGAGAGCAAGAGAGAGCATGAGCTGGGGGAGAGGCAAATGCAGACTCCTGGCTGAGCAAGAAGCCCTATGAAGGGCTTGATCCCAGGACCCTGAGAACATGACCTGAGCGAAGGCAGACATGACCGACTGAGCCACCCAGGTGTCTCTCAAATTTATATTTTAGAGCTTTCATCCCTTCCTGTTTGTTTGTTTGTTTGTTGTGGTAAAAAACACATAACACGAGATCTGCCCTCTTAATACATTTTTAAAGATACAGGATGGTATTGTTAATTATAAGCCCAATGTTAACTATAAGCAGGTCTCTAGAACTTTTTCATCTTATGTGACTCAAACTTTATACTCATCGAACAGCAACTCTCCCCCCAGTCCCTGGCATCCACCATTTTCCTTTCTGCTTCAGTGAGTTTGACATTAGATGCCTCATACAAATGGAAGAGTGTGGCATTTGTCCTTCTATGACTGGTTCATTTCACTTAGCATAATGTGGGCTAGTTTCAACCATGTTGTAGCACATGATAGGATTTCCCTTTTTATGGCTGAATAATACTTGTGTGTGAGACACATACATACATTTCCTTTATCCATTCATCTACTGATGGATATTTAGTTTGTTTCCTCCTCTTAGCTATTATAAATAATTATGCATTGGACATGACAGTGCAAATATCATATATCTGATAAAGAGTGAATATGCAAACTATACAAGGAACTCCTGCAACTCAGTAGCAAAAAAACAAATAACCTGATTAAAAAATGGGCAAAAGACTTCAGTAGATGTTTCTCCACGGAAAGCATACAAATTGCCAACAGGTATACAAAAGATTAAATATCACTAATTATTAGAGAAATGCAAATCAAAACCACAATAAGAAATCACCTTATACCTGTTGGGATGGTCTTCAATACAAAATAAATGTAATATTGGGTGCCTGAGTGGCTCAGTCGGTTAACTGTCCCACTCTTGATTTTAGTCCAGGTCTTGAACTCAGGGTCATGAGTTCAAGCCCCACACTCGGCTCCACACCCAGTGTGGAGCCCTACCAAAAAACAAACAGGGGCACCTGGGCGGCCCAGTAAGTTAAGCATCTGCCTTTGGTTCAGGTCATGATCCCAGGGTCCTGGGATGGAGCCCCACATTGGGCTCCCTGCTCAGCAGGGAGTCTGCTTCTCCTTCTCCCTCTCTGTGCTCTCTCTCTCTCTCTCTCACTGTCTTTCAAATAAATTTTAAATATCTTTATTAAAGGACACCTGGGTGGCTCAGTGGGTTAAGCCTCTGCCTTTGGCTCAGGTCATGGTCTTAGGGTTGGGATCGAGCCCCACATCGGGCTCTCTGCTCAGCAGGGAGCCTGCTTCCCCCTCTCTCTCTGCCTGCCTCTCTGCCTACTTGTGATCTATCTCTCTCTGTCAAATAAATAAAATCTTTTTAAAAATTTTTATAATAAATAAAGAAGTAAAAATTTTAAAAATTAAAAATAAAAGATAATAACAAGTGTTGGTGAAGATACGGAGAAACTAGAATGTTTAGACACCAGCAGCTGGAATGTAAAATAGTGCAACCACTATAGAGAATAGTTTAAAAAGTGAAAAATAGAACTACCATATAATCCGACAATCCCACTCCTGGGTATTTATCCAAAAAGAATTGAAATCAGGACCTCAAACAAATATCTGCACCCCAGTTCATTGCAGCATCTTGGGCTTTTGCTGGTTGGTTTGTTTATTTAGAAATTCTACTCATGCAGATTTTACATTGTATCAGTTGAAGGGAAGTGATGATGTGATGGAAAAGGAAGGAGCTCAGTCCAGGCACGTAGGCTTCAGCTGTTACTCTACCATCAATATGACCTCCTGTAGGTCACTTAAATCGCCTGGGTCTTGATTTCCTTTTCTCTGAAAGGAGTATGACACCCTCTACCTTAGAGGGCTGTTCTGAGAATTAAATGGGGTAACTTGAGTAGGAGTTGTATGCACTGTAAAGTACCATTTGTAATTATAAATAATAAATTTATTATTTATAATAAATAATTATATATAAGTTTATATATATTAAGGTTTATATATAATATATTTTATATATGTTTATATATTATATATGTAATTTATAATTATATATATAAATAAAATAATTATATATAAGTTCATTGTTGTCATGTGAATGAACAAAACAATATGTGAATGAACAAAACAATATTCTGCTTATCCCTTCCACCTTCACAAAAAAAGGAAAAAATCCACTGTAGAATTTTAGTTTCCTAGTCTTCATAAATTCTGGATTACTAACTGGATAATAACTAACTTTTCGTGTCTCTTTTGCCATGTAGATAAACAAATATTTTACTCTTTTTATAAAATTCTTAAAGATTTATTTATTTATTAGAAAGAGTATGTGTATGAGCAGGGGAAGGGACAGAAGGAGAGGGGCTAGCAGACTCCTGCTGGGTGTGGAGCCCCAGTTAGATGCAATCCCACAACCTTGAGACCCCAGCCAAAATCAAGAGTCAGACACTTAACGACTGAGTTACCCAGGCACACTGCGAATATTATATGCTAAAAAAAAAAATGGACCACAAAGTATATGTGGGTATTTACATAGTATGTTAATATATTAAGTTTTCTTGGATGTACCTTTCCAAAAAATGTATGCTATCCTTATGTAATATTTTTTTTTCAGGCAAAGTAATTTAAAAAATATATTTCTATGTTAAAAACATACCTGATAATTGCTATTACTTATGTTCAGCCAGTGAGTCACAGGTTCCTGGATAGAGAACTAATAATCAAAGTTGAAATAGCTATGAAATGGAGCCAGAAGTCCTCCCAGTCGGGGTCTCCAGCACCAAATTTCTACGGCAAGCAACTGTGCTGGGCAAGGGGTGAAGGGTAATTTGGTCTCCCAAGATGGTGTTCTTCATTTCACCCTCTATTTTCTGTAGTTCTCTTGCACTACCCATTCCATCACATCGTTTTCTCTTAAAAAAAAAAAAAAAGAAAGAAAAGAAAAGAAAAGAAAAATATTTTATTTATTTATTTATTTGAGAGAGAGTGAATAAGAGGGAGGGAGCACAAGTGCAGTGGGGGGCGATGGAGAAGCAGACTCCCCCCTAAGCAGGGAACCCGAGGTGGGGCTCTATCCCAGGAACCTGGGATCGTGAGCCAAAGGCAGATGTGTAACCTACTGAGCCACCCAGGCACCCCTTCCAGATTGTTTTCTGTAGCTCAACACACCAAGTCGGATCAGTGGTACAACAATGCTGACTGGAATGTCAAGACACATACCTGAAGATGATTTCTCGCATGAGGTCCTATAGCTTTGTTATTGTTAGTTCCTTCTGAGCATTTCCAGTATTTCCTTCACTCCTTTTAGTTTACAGTGTCTGATGCATATTAGATACTCACATCAAAGACGTTGTTTTTGTTGTTCTTCTTGCACTTAACTCTCTTTTCCCTATCCTGGACATGAATTTGACACATGATTAGCACATCTTCATTCTGATGCCACACTCCACTCTGTCCTTTCTGGTCCATGACAGTGCAGAGATTCAGAACAATGGTTAAGATACAGCATTACATTTTGATCTGGATTTAAAGACCGTTGTTTTAATGTATAGCTCTGTGACCTTGAATAAATTATTCAATCTCACTAAGCCTCAGGTTCCTCACATGTAAAATGATAATAATACTACCAATTGCAAACATTTTTATTAAATTTTATGTAAAGAAGCCTGTAGAACATGCTTATTATTTGCTTTCTTTCTGCAACATGCATTCTTCTTTTTATTAAAAAAAAAACCCACAGATATTATGGAGAATGATGCAAAATTCTCACTAAGCTTTAAAATAATGGGAGATTTGAATGAATTTTTTTTAAAGATTTTTATTTATTTATTTGACAGACAGAAATCACAAGCAGGCAGAGAGAGAGGGAGAAGCAGGCTCCCTGCCGAGCAGAGAGTCTGATGCAGAGCTCGATCCCAGGACCCTGAGATCATGACCTGAGCCAAAGGCAGAGGCTTTAGCCCACTGAGCCACCCAGGCACCCCTTGAATGAATTTTTATACATACTTTGTGCTTCTCTGAGATATACTTTTAAGCTGCCACATATTACTCATTTTTATTTTCTTCTGCCATTTCAGGGGAAATGTTTGAGAAGCACTATTTATGGGTTGAGATTTATGTATTGCAAATGACAGAAACATCAACTAAAATGGACATAAGTAGATAATGGGATTTAGTCATTCCTTTTGCTAAAATATACAAGCATAGAATTCAGACATAGCTGAATTCCAGGTTCAAAGAATACCATAAAGTAAGATTTTAATAAGCCTTTGTTATTCAAGATTGTTTTCATTCATCATTTCTCTGATCTGGATCAACTTATTTTCCTTCTGCCTGTCTTTCTCTCCTTTTTTCTTCTGAGTCAATGTTTTCACTAAGAAATCTCGTAAGATCTAGTAACTCTTAATCCTAAGTGCCATCTTTTTCAAGTTTGGTTTATATCTAAACCTTATCCTGAATGGTACTGCTTGTTCCACTTTCGTCAAGCTAGCACTCACGTCCAAGTGCTTGAGAATATTAAAGAGAAGCTTTACCTGATGGCATAGTTGCTACAGTGTTATGTGGCAGGTGCAAGTCTCAATCTTCAATCGAGAAAAGAGGAAAGAGCCAAGATTCCTGCTCTTCCCTCATTTCTACTCTGAGGTAATGAACAGAAGATAGATCACTATCTCAAAACATTACCCTACTCGATCTAAAATATTTCACCCGAATACATTTGCAGATATTTACATCTTGTTTATATTTTTCCAGCATTACCTGCTTGTTTTCCTGACTACGGAATGAGTTCCCCAAGGGAACAGAGTGTCTTCTTTATTTTTACATTATTTCTAAAACTTAGCGCAGTGATGGGCATATAGTGGGAGGTCATGAAATGTGAATATGTTTTATTTTACCCCCATATCAAAAGTAATATACTTGATCAAGTTTAGTTACACATTTTCAAAGGTAATTTCCTAAAACAATGCTGTCTTAATTGCGTAAAATGTATAAATGAAAATACGGAATGTAAAAATACAGACTTTTTTTCTATAAGGGGGAAAACAGTAGTAAGGTTTTTGACTTTGCAGGACATATGATCTGTTGTAACTTATTCTTGTAGTGGAAAGCAGTGATAAACAATACGTAAGTGAATGAGTATTGCTGTATTCCAGTAGAACTTTCTTTTCTTTTTTTTAATATTTTATTTATTTATTTGACAGAGAGAGATCACAAGTAGGCAGAGAGGCAGACAGAGAGAGAGAGGAAGGGAAGCAGGCTCCTTGCTGAGCAGAGAGCCTGATGCAGGGCTCCATCCCAGGACCTTCAGATCATGAACCTGAGCCGGAGGCAGAGGCTTTAACCCACTGAGCCACCCAGGTGCCCATTCAGTAGAACTTGCTTTACAAAAACAGGCTATGGTTTATTTGGCTGAAGGACCATAGTTTGCTGACCTCTGTTCTAAAACAAAGCAAAAGGTATGCAAGGTAAACTTATATTTTCAAGAATGACCAATCATTCAGGTTGTCAGGTACTGAGAGTTTCCCAGGACAAGGGACAATCTCAGCAAGTCTGGAACAAGTTGGTCACCCTACTTGTCCTAGATCCTAACATCATTCATTTATTCATTCACTGAATAATGAGTCACTACTAATATTAAATCAACACTCAAAGTTTCAAATTAAACCAGAGCATTGCAATATTCTGCATTATCTGGTTGGGTCATATAACATGTAATTCTGAAGCTAATTTGTAAAAGGTGTTCGTCTGACTTTATTCATTATTTAAATTTAGACAGCTTTAGAATGAACATATGGCAGTAATTATCAACATGAAGTAAGATAAAAGGATATGAAAAGAAAAAATCATAATGTAACAATATAAACTTCTTCAATTTACATCATATAGAAGTTTTTCACTTAATCTGTTTAACTAACACATATTTTATTCAAGCCATAAATGATGTCTTCCTGTAATAAAAATCCCAAATTAGACTTTTTTATAGGCAAAAAATTTGAAGAGGTTGGCAAACATGCTCAGGAAAATCCCAGTGACTTCATGATTCATCATTTGTATCGAAAATTAGAAGGTGAGAAAATTGAGAGGAAAAAAAAAATCTCACTAATAAGGATTAAAAACAAATGATTCATTTCTTAAACTTTTTTCAGAGAAGCAAATTACAGCCAAATTATAGGCCTGACAAACCATAATTAAGGCATAAGAGGAATTATGGGGGATTGAGAGGTGAAGGAGACCATGTTTCAACTTAAATATCAATTTCATTTAGCATCGTTAAAATTAGCTCTTTCCTGCTTTTAGTTTCTGAAGTCCCTTTAATGAAAAGGGAAATGGAATCTTAGAACCTACCTATATAATAAGTCAAATGAGATGAAGCATGGAGAGGAATTTATATAAAGATTTAAATAATGTACATACACAGACATGGATAGTATTCTTACCTAGAAATCAAAAGAGTCCTCATGTCCAAAAGTCAAGAGAACAATGTGCACATTTTTCTTCCCCCCCCACCCCCCCGCCTTTGCAATTTGAGTGTTTCATGAGTTTCTGAAAATAGCATGGCTCTAAACAGTGTTTCTCTCTTGATAGTTTTAAAATTTGGAGGAGAAAGTGACACCGATTTCTGATTTTCAATCTAAGCACAGAAACTCAATTTATCGGAGTATCTTGAGAATGGATAGAATGACTAAAATAAATGTTTAGCCGATTATTAATTGGGAGCTTATTTTGTTTTTGTATTTTCCATTTTGTTACATACTATATTAAAATGACATAGGAGAACCATACTTTGCTTTCAATAATTCAGTAATAATCACAAAAGAAGCTTTCGACCAAATGGGCGTTTTTAATTTTATATCATAGCGTATTATGAATAGATACTGTGTACAAAATCTAGATGCGTTAGGTGTGCATTAAATGAGGGCGAGAGGGTTTGGGTTTTTGCTTTAGAATTTTTAATTGCATTCATTTGTAATCCAGTAGAGGAAGTAAACAGCATACTAGTAACATTCATCAATGCGAATAGGGTAAAAAGTGATTTCAATAGAGTCTGGCTGCGTGAGCCCAATCAAATGAAGCCAGCAGTGTTAATACTCTCTTCCATTCTCTCAGTAATAACCGTTCATTCATGAAAAACTTTATAATCATGTTATTAGCCATCCTTGTCAGAGGTCTAGTAACTTTAATTTAAGGCTCTTTGAGGCAGAAATGGAAGTATAAAAATGTAAAGAGGGCACTTGTGGTCTGAATGTGGTCCATGCAGTTAGCATATCCCCCCTTTCCTGCTGGAGAACATCCAAAAGCAGCAAGGAGAATGGGAAACAAAAATGCAAACTCCATTTTCAGCAAAAGTAAGCGACAGCTCCAATCTCCAGAGCCCAAAATAGGCGTAAGGGTTGCCAAAAGCCGTGGAGACGGAGCAGGGCAGAGCCGGGGCTGTGTGGGAGGAAGCCGCGAGAAAGTGCCTCGGAGTGAATTCCCCAGCAGCGGGCAGGGGGCCAGGCTCTGCAGATAGCAGAAAGAGCAAAATGACAACTCAGGCGTGAGCCGTGAGCTGCGGTGGTTAAATCTAGATCCTCGCTTGCCACGCGGGATTTGGGTGCGTCCGCTGGCAGAAGGAGCGACCCTAGACCCGAACTGATTTTGAGACACTGAAGGGGGAAGAGCTAAATAAAGAATCACTCCTAGAACAGCCACATGTGCAGGGAAGCAATTTATCTTGTGACCACCACGGGGTTCAAGATGGTCTTCGCACTGTCCCGCACCTG